CCCTTACATACTGTTCAGGTCAAATTTGACCCGTTTTGACATTCAACAGTAGAAAAAATACCCTAAGCATCATTCTTTTATCCTGAAATTTAATGACTTTTCCTAAATTTTGCCAAAATACACAAAAATGAAAATATTTTAAAATTTTATACTTTTGTACAGGTGCTACAAATTTTGCGACACTGAGGCTGTTTCGGGTCAATTTTGACCTGTATCTATTAAGATGGATTTTAGCTCCATCAGTGCAGGTCAAATGATGCAAAATGGAATTTTTAGAGAACCTTGAAACTGTGGAACTGCACACCCCATGTTTGTGTGTATTTTTTTATGGGACAGTGGTGACAGAGTTCAAGAATTCACTGTTTTGAGATTCCCCCATGACCCAGGTTCCCAGAGACAGACACCTGTTGGTTTTTGAAGAGGCAAAGGAGAATCTCAAAAAAGTGAAAGGAGTGATCATCCTGTTTATGCTGCACATAAGAAACACAAGTCAATCAAGTGGGAGAGAGAGATCTTTTCTTCTAAGTTTGAGTAAGTTCACTCAGGACACCACAGTTGTCTCGTACATGTAAAAGAAGAACAAGAATGTCATTCTTATGAGCACATTACATATGGCTGCAGAGGTGAGCTCCTGGGAGCTCCATCATCATCATCATCATCATCAGACATCATCCTTGACTACAATGCCAACAAGGAGGAGTGGAAAACCTTGACAAAGTAACAGGCACAGGTGCAAAAGAAGAACCTCACATTGGCCCGCTTTGCTGGGCCGCTTTGTCTATGGAGTGAGCTGAACCTGACCGGGAGGCCAAGCAGGACGAACTGGAGGAGGTTCTTTTCTGGAGGAGTTTGGAAAGGCCCTTGTGACTCCCTGTCTGCAAAGGTGACACCAGCTTCCCCACACGGCAGCTTCAGCAGCATTGGTGAGGCCAGTGCAGTGATCTGAACCTGACCCAGATCAAGAAGTCACACCAGAAACCAACACAAGGGCACAGAAGACAAGAAGATACAACTTTAGCCCTGCTAAGAAGAACTGCAAAACAGCTACAACCTGGTGCAAATGTGGGAAACACAGAAACACAGTCCCACACACACAAAGTTTCCTACCACTGCTTTGAATGCACTGACTAGTTTGAAATAAGCAGAAGGGCTGCAGTGGATAAACATGGATACATTATAAATTCCAACAGTTCCAGAATATTCATGTCATTTTCAAATGCAATAATATATATACAGATTTTTAGGTGTTTTGTAAAACAGGACTATGATACTTGTGATAGTAGATGTTTTTCTCCAAAATCGAGTGTTGTAAAACTTACAAAAATATGCTCTTCCTGCTCTCCGAAACATTATATTTATATATTACACTTATTTATTAATGTAGGACAGTCTGTTTAGTCACTTTAAATAGATCTGTAGTTCAAAATGTGGTTTAGACACTTACTATGACCCGAACCATACTGTGAAGGCTTCAGAAATGAACATTAATTTGGACCACTGCAAACTGTTTCAAATGAACTCATTTCCATGATTTTATGACCACAGTAAATATATATTTTTATTATGACTTTGTTATGGAAACTCTGACAGGTTTCATTTGGAATGCTGTATGGTCCTAATTTTTGGTTATTTGTTATTATCATTATTTTATTTTCAAGACAATAGAAGGAAATCCAAAACACTTCAGACTCAGGAGATGTTCAAGTGAAGTTCGTCCAGAATCCCAGTGAGAAATTACAGGTGCACTGCATAAATTTTCTAGTACAGTTTAGCCATCTACTGGTCTACATGGAGATGTTATTGCACTGCCTCTAATGCTCCACATGATGGCATTTAACTGGTCTGTTTATACGACATGGTGTCTGAGTAAATCACCTTAACTAAATACTTGCTTTTCTTTAATATTTTCTTTAACATTAACTTTTATTCTCATATAATCATAAATTATACATTTTGTGCCTTCTTTATCATTATTATTAGTTTGTATAACCATAAACAGAAACAAAAAAATCATAAATTTTTTTCATTCTCATTGTAGTTTATTTTGTTCGATCATAAACGATAAACTTTTGTGCCTATTTACATTACATTATTATTAGTTTGTACGACCATGAACAGGAAAAAAATACTTTAAAAAAGCTAGGAAACTAAGAAAAAGGTGATTGCATTTCTGAACAATTAGAGTGATGATTAAAAAAAAAACAAAAAAAAAAAACACTAACAGTAACACCGTAGAAGCCTTTAAAGAAGAGTATCAAGCAGAAATGTCAAACTCAGGCCTGGGGGCCAAATTTGGCCCACAATATAATTATATTTGGCCTGCAAGATCATATTAAATATGTATTAGAGCTGGCCCGCTGGCTACAGATAGCTATAGAAAGATTATTTATTTAAAATGTTGTTATTATTTTATATTATGCTTGTTCTGGATTCAATGTTTAAGCAAAACTATTTTTAAACATTTATTTTAATAAGAAAAGGTTTAAAATTACAAATCTCGAAAGAAGAGAAAACATGCAGATGTTGTTGACATTTTTCAGTAAATATTTAGTTTGGCCCACGACTTACTCCCAGTTTTTATTTTTGGCCCTCTATGAGTTTGAGCTTGACAGCCCTGGATAAAGCGCTATGTTTTGAAAGATATAGAGCTCTGGAATGAATGAATTATGCATTAAATTTAGTTTGTTTTAATTTACATTTTGTGTCTTATATATACAGTAAGTCGAAATTGTAAATGCAAACTTGCTGTTCATACGCTCCTTTTCTTTCTTGGAATATTGTCACTGTTTTATAGAATTTGGTGTTATAAGTACTTTTTACTTCAGCTGAAACCCTTTCAGTCATGATCCATGGGGCTGTAGTCTAAGTTTTATTTTATTTTGTGTTTCAGTGCTGCAAAATGGCCAAATACATTACTACTACTACACAGTTTGCAAACTTTACCTGCGTCAGGGTGTTTTTTTTTTGTTTTTTTTTTCTAGTTTCAAATCAAACATGCACAATGGGTCAAATCCTCCAGCGAAGGCAGTCCTGATCAAGGTTAAGGGGGATGGAAACAGAGCATTTACAGCAGGTCAGGTGTGTGGAGAGGTGTCTCAGCTCACAGAAGAGCGCATGTTAGTGTTTTTAAGCAGTAAATGCAAGATAGTTCAAGGTGCATTGTATAATGTTTCTTCTGGAAGGTCCACCCCCAGCTTGTCTACATGGAGATCTTACTGTTTTTCACACATTATTTCCCACATTATGGAAATAAACTTGATAATCACATTGGGGACATGTTAATTGTCAGATCTATGGAGAAGCAAGCCTGCACATGGTAAGAGTTAATATTTTTAAGGTACTTTTTGAGCTCTAAAACACCTGAAATTGAACAAATGTAAGATAGATATGTTTAATACCATACTGACATCTCCATGGAGACAAGCAAGTAGATGACCTTCCATCTTAGAAGTTACATAGCGCAGCTTTAATGCCATACTGTGGAACATTTTTGGGTTGATAACATTTATTTCTATTGTCCATTTAGACTTTAATCATTTGACTAATCTATAAATATTGCTGACTAGTCAACTGCTAAAATAATTGTTAGTATCTGCTTCACAAGTCAGGTTTCAATTGCCTTCAACCATTTTTTGAAACATGCAATTTGACTTGAAATATATTCCAAAATGATCTTTGTTGAGTAATAAAAAGATACGAAAGCCTGCATTTAAGCTCTCGTTGATTGGTTGGAGTTGTAATTGAATTTTATTTGATGACTTTTTCCCATTCAATAGATCAGATGTTTTGTTTTGAATTGTCATTTGGCTGTCCCACTTTTTTTTCTGAAAATCATGGGCAATTCCAAATCTGGTTCTTTTTAAAGCGCTATTTTCTGATCTGTGTTATAATGTTGTTTCCTGGAGTTGTGTTTTGTGTCATTGTGTAACTCTGGAGATGTCATCGCTTTGTCTGGAATGTTTCACAGTATTCATAGTATTAAGTCTTTCTATCTTCATGGAGACCAAACCAGACCAAGTTACAAGTCAGAAAGCCTGTTTTTATAGATATTTTTGAGCTATAAAACCACCTGTAATTGAATAAACGTGAACTAGAGCTGTTTAATTTCATACTGTGGAACATTCCAGGCAGAGCAATGACATCTCCATAGAAACGAGCAATGACAACGACAAGAACCCCCGACAAATAAGTTACATAGTGCACCTTGAACACATAAACCCTGGATCTGGTAATACAGGAAGAGCTCTAATGTGTTTTTAACTCCATAAATCTTCACTAGAATCATTTGGATCATTTCATTAATGAATCGGTTGTTGACTGTTTGGAGTTGTATTGCTCTACTAAATCTTCTGTTTGACAAGGTGTTGACTTAGCGCACACGCAGACTCTTGTTTATGATCTTAGCATAATCTTAGCATGTTAAACTGTCGTAATAGTTCATTGCTGGTAGTCATTGCACAATTTCCACAAGAACGAGACGAGATTTTAACATAATTTCTAATATATACATTTCTCTATTCACTATCCAAATTTAGCCTCACATTATTAGTATTATTTTTTTTATTTGATTTCTGCTTTATGGTTTAAATGCGGTTTAAATGTCCATATTCATATAAAAAATCTCACCAGATCAGTGTTTTTCATGTGTGCACTTGTAATATCCCTAATTGATCTACTACTATCAGGTAATATGGTATCATAAAAAGTAATATACTGAAAGGATAGTGTAATTGGATATTTAGATGCTTATGACTAAATTGGGACTAAACCTGGACTCTAACAGAACAAAACCAGGACTAGAAAAAAAACAAGTGTACATCAGGGCTAATAAACTGGGCTCATACTATTAATAATTCTTTAGAGTATTAATGTGGTTGCCATTTTGGAATGCACGTTTGATATTTGGAGCTGGAAAAGTGTCAGGACTAGTATAAAAGTAGTATTAGAGGCAGTAGTATTTATAGTTTTAGTACTTACAGTTGTATTGTTTTTCTCCTCAGAGTTGGATACGTGTCTGTGTCCAGTTACTGCTGTTCATCGTGTTTGGAGGACAAGCGCTCGAGTTCCACGGCAACCCAGTGACGGACGACATCCTCAAGCTCAATATTCTGGTCAGGACTGCAAACACATGTACTATGTAGTAGTAGATAAAAAATTTAATTAGAATGTCGTTATAGTGAATTCAGCTGGAATTCTGATGGGCCTGCCCCATAGTTGCCGGGGCAGGTCCAGCTTTACACTTTACAACTACTTATTTTACTATACTACTTTTAGAGCTATTTTTTGAAGGCGCTGCTGTCTGCTCTATCTTAAATAATAAACATTTTGATGTGAAACAGACTTAACATAAATGTTTCTAGCCTGATCAAATGCAACATTTTGAATGACTCATTTGAAGGGAAAAAAGTTTGGACAGCCCTGACTTAAACTGATAACGTTGTTTTGTGTTTTGTTTTTCAGAGACAAAATATTCCTAAAGATTACAAAATTCCAGTGCGTTACATTCCAAAAGAAGAGGTAAGACCAGATGTATATCAGATATCTTGTAGAAATAGTTACAGCATGTAAACACAACAAATGTTACTGTTTTAAAAACATGAAAATCATGTTGCAGTGGTAAAAAGTCATTCCTCAACTAGCATACTAACTGCACTCTTCCTGATTCTTTGACAATAAAACACTTAGTAATTAGATGCAGAAGACACACTGCAAACTTATTAAGAACTGCTTACACAATATATCTGTACAGCAGAGCCCTTAAGACAACAAATGTAACTATTATGTCAATGTGAGGGTGATCGCTGTACCCGCTGATCCACTCGAACCCTTTGTGTGTCTGTGTGTTGCAGGGGGGCATGTGCTGGGTCAAACTCAACATCTTCTATCTGGAGGAGAGTTTAAGGGACCTGTCGCATAAGTTTGGAAACATTTCAACCAATCGTAAAGACATTAGCATAATCATACAAATGCTCGAAGGCTCACGGATCAAGATGGGCCAACTGGTAAGAAGCACTCTCACTGTCAACCTCAGTGCAAACTAATTTAACCTTAACACTGTGTAACTTTTCCAGAGGAGGGTCAGATACATCATTTTCTATGGAGATGGTATTGCTCAGTCAGATCTGTGGAGAGGTGTATAGGATGATATTATATTATATTATTATTATATTATTTTTTTTCTGGTATGGGTTCCATTTTCAAATTATACATTAATTCAACCAATTGCTAATTTATTTATTAAAAAAAATTAAGATAGGCTCAATCATTTTTTGTCACTATTGCCGACTTTAATAGTTTAAACTGGTGTTGAAACAAAACTAAAGAAAGGACTAAAGCAGGACTTCAACTAGGCCAGTGGTGGAATGTAACAAAGAAAAAGTAGCAAAGTACTGTACTTAAATATACATTTTAGGCACCTGTACTTTACTTAAGTACACTTTAAAGTGGATACTTTTTACTTCTACTTTACTACATTTGAGAGTAGGTTTGTGTACTTCCTACTACACCTCCCACTACATTTTTGAACTGGACTCAGAAGTAAATGTATTTTTTATTATTGTTTGAGGCTGAGTCTGAAGGTTCATTTTTGATCAATTTATAGTCTGAGAAAACTAAAAATAGACAAATGAAAACAGCTAGGGGAAAAACAACAAAATGAACTTCAATCTGTATTATAACCATTACATCTGAAGCTTTATTAAATCTCAAAATACACACACAATACTTTAACTTTTAACTATTTTAGTACATTTTAAACATGTACTTTAATACGTTTGCTTTGTCTGGAAAGTTTCACTTTCTATATGTTCTGTCTTCATGAAGATCAAACTAGACCAAGTTACAGGTCAGTTCTGTGGAGAGGTGACCCCACTCAGTCAAAATGTCAGTTTTTCTAGGTATTTTTGAATTATAAAACCACCTGTAATTGAATAAATGTGAGGTAGAGCTGTTTTAATGTCATACTGTGGAACATTTGAAGAGTAATGACAAGTAGGTGATGGACCATCCTCCAGAAAAGTTACACTTTTAAGTTGATTTTTTCATGTGGTACTTTTACCCTTACTTGAGTTAGTTTTTTGCAGTATCTGTACTTTTACTTAAGTAACAAAACTGAATACTTTACTGAACTAGACCTTGGTGGAGGATGTAGTCCATTTGTGCCCTCTCCATGTCTTTATCATTGTGCATGTAGAGTGTAACATTACACAGACCTCGCCCTCCACAGCCCTGGTGCACAGCTGTCCTCTCCTTTGTGTTTAAACATGTCTGATGCATTATTCACTCACCTCTGTGGACCATACGAGGAGCGGGCAAGACCCAAAAGACCCTGCTCTAGAGAAAACAACAGTGGTGTGATCTGTCAATCATCCAGGCGTGTCCATAGTAATGAATAGCTCAAAAAGTGGACAAAGTTTTGTCCAGTTGTAGACATTTTTGAAAAATGTCTTACAATAATAATAAGTTGAATTAATATTGTCTTTTAAAAGCTTCTTCTCATGTATTTCAGTCACAAAGTTATCAGAATTTGGTTGAAATGGTTGAAATGAAAGCATGTTCTTTTTTATGTTTTGTTTATTGCACTGAAAAACATGCATCCTTAACTGGGAGCGGGCTTGCGTCTCCACAAATCTGACTCTTGTTTGGCGGAGAGTGTCTCCTTCTGCTTTTTTCCATGGAAATGTTGCTCCTTTGGCTGTACTCTTCTAGTCAGGATGGCACAACCTAGCGCCTCTTCTCAATTTTATTTCTCACCAGCGACTATGTCAGAACTCAGAATACACTTAGACGGTTTGCAAGCACCCCACACCGGCCAATCAGTGAAGAGCTGTGAAACCATGACGTCAAACTCAATTGCCTGTCTGGGTCCCTTTTGTGGTACAGCACAACAGTAAACAAAGTGGTCATGGATGTAGATGAAGCCATACATTCTGTGTTGGCAACGATTCCAGAGATAGAGGATTTAAAGCCGGAACAAAGAAAATGTTTAGTGAATTTTATCAAGGTGAAAGACGTTATTGTCCTTCTTCCTACGGGATTTGGCACATTACATACGTCACGACCAAATAGCAGCAATTGGTTAAATAAAAAAGTACCTGCCTACCGTTGAATTAACAAATCCTAATGCTGCGAGGCCAGACGGTTTCCATAAAGTGAAACCGGCTGATGAATCAGGCTAGTGCTCTTCCACAGTATGACATAAAATCTAGTTCAATGGAGAATATTTCCAAGTATGGTTTTAACTATCTATTTTCATGGAATAGACTGAAGTGGTATTATTAATAACTATCTTCATTGCCATCACTGCCCCGGGGTAGACTGACGGAGGTGTGGCCAACAATCTTTACCAACGGCTTCTCCAAACACAACCAATTACACACTTATATTTGTAGAGGTGGATAAAGTGTCTTGCCTCACAACGATTGGAAGTATGCAGTAGTCATAGGCGCTATTGCACCATCAAGCCAGCACTTTCATCAGGTGTAGACCATGTACGAATAGAACATAAAACCGTCCCGATTTGATCCTGGTTTAGTCCTCATGTAGACTTGTTGTGGTCCTGTTTTAGTCTGGGTTTAGTCCCCGTTTAGTCCCAGTTTAGATGCGTCCTTAAATTTGTACTGGGACCAGGATCAGACCACACCCAGACCATGGTCATATATACAAAGACAGACCAAGTTCAGACCAAGTTCAGATCAAGTTCAGACCAAGTCCAGACCGAACTTAGACTTGAACTAGACCACGCTTAGACCCGGGTTAGACCATACGAGGAGCGGGGAGCCCTGGAGCGTATTCTGATGTAACTTTATCTGATTCTGTTCAGGATCCACCGCCCACACACAAAAGGGTCAGATTACACAGGGCAGTACATGAGACGCACTGATAACATCTAACCAACAATAGTACTAATACTATCTCTACTACTGTTACTACTACTGCTACTACTACAGGATACACACTGATAACATCTAACCAGCAATAGTACTAATACTACAACTGATAATAACACTACTACTGCTAATATTACAACTACTGCTACCACTGCTATTAACACTACTACTGCTACTGCTACTACTACTATTACTACTACTACTACTGTTACTACTACTACTTTATGAAATACAATGATAACATCTAACCACCCTGAAATTAATACTACTGTCACTACTACTGGTACTACTGCTATTAATGCTATTACTTCTACTACACATATTTACAGGGTTGTACATGATGTAGATGCACTGATCAACATCAAACAACCGCTGCTGCTGTACTACTATTATTACTACTACAAATACTCTGAATGCTATGACTACTACTTGTACAAACCCTTAGTTTGTGAACTGCATTCTCTCTTTCTAACCTTCTGCTTGGTCTTCTCTGAATAGTAGTTTAGGGTGTAAACACTGATAACATCTAACCAACATTGCCGCTGCTGTTACTACTACTACTACTACTACTTCACTAAAGTTATTGTGCTTGCTCTCCTCTGAACAGTACTCTTTCTAACCCTGTGCTTGGTCTAAGTCCCTGGCTGCTGACTGGAAGAAGCTAAGAAAATGTTAACACAGTCTAATAGTTTATGTTGTGAGTGAACACCCCTGCGGTTTACTACGATGTGCCAAATGTGAAAATGATACTTTAATTTACTCTGTGGATCTCAATGGCATATAATTTAATAGCTAAATAACATCTCACTAATACACATAATTAGATTTAAGATTTTGCTATAAAAATCTGATCTAGTGTTTTGCTGGTTGGATATGGCATACATAGAGGTAATTCCAGCACTGTTACCTAGCAACCATCCTGTAAACAAGGGCAAAAATTCATCTAATTTACACATTAATAATAATTTGATGAATAAAAATAAATGACTTACCTTGAGTTTAATAACTGAATGTTTAAACTTTTAAAATTTGTGTGTAAATTATTGCTGCATTTTGAGTTTTCTGTGTTGCTGACATACGTAGGTGTAGGCTTACTCTACAACTGCTAGTAGTAGTACTGCACCAAGACTATTTTGTTGGTCTCTTTCTAACCCTGTGCTTGGTTTCTCTGAACAGGACCCTTTCTAATCTTGTGATTAATCACTTCTGAACAGTACTCTTTCTAACCTTGTGCTTGGTCTCCTCTGAGCAGTACTCTCTCTCAAACCCTGTGCTGGGTCTCTTCTGAACAGTACTCTTTTTAACCCCATGCTTGGTCTCCTCTGAACATTACACTTCTAACCCTGTGCTTAGTCTCCTCTGAATAGTACCCTTTCTAACCTTGTGCTTGGTCTCCTCTGAACAGTACTCTTTCTAACCCTGTGCTTGGTCTCCTCTGAACTGTACTCTTTCTAAACCTGTGCTTGGTCTCCTCTGAATAGTACTCTTTCTAACCCCATGCTTGGTCTCCTCTGAACATTACACTTCTAACCATGTGCTTAGTCTCCTCTGAACATTACACTTCTAACCATGTGCTTAGTCTTCTCTGAACATTACACTTTTAACCATGTGCTTGGTCTCCTCTGAACAGTACTCTTTCTAACCCCATGCTTGGTCTCCTCTAAACATTACACTTTTAACCCTGTACTTAGTCTCCTCTGAATAGTACCCTTTCTAACCTTGTGCTTGGTCTCCTCTGAACAGTACTCTTTCTAATCCCATGCTTGGTCTCCTCTAAACATTACACTTTTAACCCTGTACTTAGTCTCCTCTGAATAGTACCCTTTCTAACCCCATGCTTGGTCTCCTCTGAACAGTACTCTTTCTAACCCTGTGCATAGTCTACTCTGAACAGTACTCTTTCTAAACTTGTGCTTGGACTCCTCTGAACAGGACTCTTTCTAACCTTGTGCATAGTCTTCTCTGAGCAGTACTCTTTCTAATCTTGTGTTAGGTCTCCTCTGAGCAGTACTGTCTCTCTAATCCTGTGTTAGGTCTCCTCTGAGCAGTGCTCTTCCTAACCCTGTGCTTGGTCTCCTCTGAACAGGACTCTTTCTAACCTTGTGCATAGTCTCCTCTGAGCAGTACTGTCTTTCTAATCTTGTGTTAGGTCTCCTCTGAGCAATACTCTTTCTAACCCTGTGCTTGGTCTCCTCTGAACAGGACTACATCATGTTTGACTTCCAGTGTCACTATAGAGAGGAGCGGTGGGCCACGGCGCGATACTTCGATTACGTCAAAGATTTTCTGACAGAGACTCAACAGCTCAAAGAGTTCGTAGACGACTGTGACCCTCCGCCTTGCCCAACGACACAACTACCAACCACCACCACCACCACAGTCACACAGCTAGGTGAGTACAAATACTACTCCTGCGACTGCTACTACAACTATTACTACTACATTTGACGACAAATACCAAAGCAGTTTGACTGATCCATACATGTTTGAGATTCCTGCATTTGAAGCGTTAGTGGTCATAAATTCCTGTTTTCACCTACCTCCTATCTCCGCCCCCTGCTCTGTATTTACTTGCAGTTCAAGGGTAAATTAAATTGTTCAAAAATATTGCACAGTCATTTATATACAAGAAAACAACACAATATGCATTTGTTTTGGTGCATCTTTTTACAAACACAAGTCTTCTTTCTCTCTTCAGCTTTGCAGCCCACACTTCCAACACTGTGATCCATCAGGGATTTCTGCAAAAGATTTCTTAACAACTGTTGTTTTTGAGCAATACATTAAAAGTACACTATGTATCTTCTAAGGTGGAGGGTCTGCTATTTGGTTGTCTCCGTGGCGACGTTATTTCTTTGCCTGGAATGTTCCACAGTATGACATTAAACACATCTCCCTTGCATTTGTTCAATGACTGGTGTTTTATGACTCAAAAATACCTTACAAAAGATTAATTCTTCTTATGTGCAGACTCGCTTCTCCATAGATCTGGCCATTAACCTTTACCTTGTGATTACCAAGTTCATTTCGATACTGTGGAATAATCAAACAGTAATATCTCCATGGAGACGAGCAGATGGAAAAGTTACACAATGCACCTTTAAAGTGGCTGTACCTGATTTTTTAGTTTAGAAGTAAGTTAGTTTTGCCCATTTAGAGATGTATTATAAAAGCAACGGACCAGGAAGTACAGCTGGTGCTCTGTTAGCATGCTAGTTGCTGTTAGCTTTCTAAACTTGTGAATAATTAGGACGTCCAGAATGCGAAGAAAGTGAGGAATAACTTTGGACCACTGACAACGTATTAAAATGAACTAGTTCTTTTTTTTTTTTTTTTCACGTTTTTAAGACAGTATAGACCTCTTCTCACCTCTTCCCACCTTTCCAGCGATTTGGGAGTGGTGTGAACTTTCTGAGGACAGCCTGAAATTGGATCTCATTGACGTTTTTCCCACTTTCAGAACAAAAAAGTTAAAATATTTTTACTGGTCTTTGGCGAAATGTGGGCCGCTCTGTGTACTTTTATCTCTCACTCCAGCTTTCTATAAAATCTGTCAGAAATTTGCTGGGAGTGGTGTTTGAATTCCTCTGAGTTGTAATAACAGGAAGATATCATCAAAATCTGTTTGTAAGAGAAAGTCCTGTTGATTCAGGCAAATATTCTACTACTACTACCATACTACAGCAACATTACTACTGATACTATAACTACTAAAGAGAGTTGCTTACCTTTCTGTTTACTATCACTACAACTACTACTAACAAACAGTTCCCTACAACTTTTATTACTCTACTCTATTCTAAAACTTCTACTGCTCCTGCTACTACTTCTGCTATGACACTACTACCACCACTACTACTACTACTACCATTACTACTACTCAAACTACAACTATTGATGTTCCACAACAATTTCAGCTGTCTAATCCATAATGAAATCCAGGCCACTGTAACTTCAGGACCAATTTACAAATTTGATTTCAAAAGTAAACAATAGTTTTGTGATAAAGTCCAGAAGTTACAATATAAAACAAGTGGTAGTGGACTTCCTCTGGACCAGTGTTTCTCAAAAATGTTTTCACAAACCAAGTCAGTAAACATTCGTAAATCACAAAATGAAGGTGGATTTGACCATTATTGAACATGAATGAAAATATGTTATTGTTGACAGAATGATTGTGTCTCTCTCAACAATTAGTATTACTCAAGTTTTAAACAATGAAAAACAGTCATTGAAGCAGCAATAAAAGGATCCATAAGTATCCTGATGTGCACTGATCTTTGCTGATTTATCACCTTCCTTCTGGACAACCAAGCAAGCATTTCTCAACTTCAGGGCAAGCAGATAGGATTCATGGACTCACTAGCTCTCTCATGTGTCAGAACTGTATACTGCAGACCTAAATGCAGATTGTGACAAGACGACCCCCCCAAAAAAAAATCTCTTGTGACCCACCTGAATGTCGCAACCCAGTCTTTGAGAAACAATACTCTGGACTATAGCTGGACTAGAGCCCTGTTTGTGGCTCTGGTTGGACTGGTTTGGGCCTCTGTCTTGGTCTCTGGACTAGTGTCTTCCAAGCAGCTGGTCACTGAGATCTTTCCCACCTCCAACTTGAAATAATGCCCCAAAACACCGCAAGAACTGGTAATGCCCATTCCACATACGAGTTTTAAACTGTGGCATATTACAACACTGATAATCAGCACAAAGAGGTTCTGAGAGGTTATCCACCACGTAAACCAGCATTTGATAAATATTAAATCTGACAATATTCTGTCGTTTCACATTTAACTTTCACGTGTATTTAATAGGGTTAGCATTCGCCTTATTGTTTACACATGAGATAATTTAGATGGAACGCTCTGAGGTCAGAACTTGTAATGTTCACAAGGAAAATACCTTCCATTTGCCTGGAACACAGCATTAGACCTGGTTTTGCTCTGGACTTGGATCTGGTTTTGGAGTGGACTTGGACCTAGGTTTTATTCGAACTTTGGTCTGGTTTAGGTCTGTTTTTGTTTTCATTTTGATCTGGGCGTACACCTGGTCTGGTCTTGTTTAGCGTTGTCGCAATACTAAAATTTCAAAATTTTGATACTAAGAAATAGACTTAACACTCTACTACACTCAATATCAATTTCAATACCACGATTATACTAAAAAGCACTCTTTGTTTTGCCAACAGAATGTGATTTTCAACATTAGATCATAGCACTTTATTGATCACTAGGGAAATTCAAGTTCTGCTGCAGGAAACTTTGATTTCACACAATCTAACAGTGCCTTGTGTCCATTCCCTCAGAGTATTTCCTCTGAAGGTCTTCTGGCACATTTTTCTGCCACATATGGTGTGAAAGGCCTGTAGCATCTCAAAGGTCCATCTCTAGTTCCTCAGCTGGCTCCTTCACCAGCCTTTTGAACAGTCTCCAATGATACGTGAAAAACAAAAGCTAGTTCTGATACAGTTCAAAATCATTCTAAAGCTAAGTAAGGTTCATTCCTGTCCTGTGAATGGGATTTGTTAGTAATGATACCTGCTGAAATGAATATCTAGTTTTGACAATGGTTTTAGTATCTTCTTTTGGTTTTGGTCTGGACTCAGTTCTGGTTCTGGTTTGGTCTTGTTTTGCACTTGTGTAATTGTTGTAAAAAGAAGAATCAGAACTCACCACAATATTTTTATTTGGCCAGCACTCTGAAGCTGCAGGGCAAGTTGGTTTGTTTTAAATCCACTTAAATTCCTCCCACAGAAACCAAAATTACTACGAAAATCAAGTTTGGTTTTGATCTTTAATAAAACAAGATGTCAAATTCATGCTTGCAACCACAGAAGCCTATTTACAGTGTGCATGATGGGGTTTTATGATTCTATAATTTTGACTTAATTTGGTTGGATTATAACTTACAATTATACAAGCAAATTTACACCAGCCAAGAAACAATTTGCGATGGAAAGTTGAAAAGTATGTTGAAAATGATGAGATCACACTGGGAAAAATCCAATTTCCACATAACAAATCATTTTTTTCTGATACTCTAAACATAATTTCAACAAAATAAAGGTGATTTCTTAGATTTGCATTTGTCAGATAAAAATTTGTGTGTACATTAGAGGAGTTTAGTGGACGATTTTATTCACTTGGTTAAAAGGTCCACTGCGTAACTTTTCTGGCCTCTTATGTTTATGTTCTAGAATTTTATGATGTTATTATTTCAGGGGTCTATGCAGCTCTACGGGAGATTTACAGTTTTTGAAAGAAGTCTCCAAATTTATGATCCCCATTATTTGTTTGGGATCGGTTCCACAGAGAAGCTGTTTTTGTTTCATGTGGATAGGTTCAGTAATTACAGAGAAATGAACTATAAAATGGGCCATAAACCAGGTCAACAAACCTGGAATCTGACAGTTAAAACCTGAATTGTTCCTTAAGTTGATCTGACTTTTTAAACTGGATTGGGCACATGTGGGAAAGATTGTCTCTGAAGTCAATTAGTCCCATGGCTGAATTGGTTTTACAGATTGTTTGTGAGATGTGGACAATGACACAGTGTGGAACCTCCTCTAGTTAAAGAGCATGTTTAAAATCCATACTGAATTTAGCTATTTTGCAACCTCCTGAGTTTGCATGTTCTGCCTGTGTTGCTATCTTGCCCCATTGCAGATATATTGTATAAGCAGATCTTGAAGTCAAAATAAGTCTACTGTTTACTGTCTCCATCACATTATAAAGCGGTTTATTGTCTGATAACCAGAAAGTGCACTGTTAGCATGTTGGTGTTAGGTTTATCATCACCAGAAATCATCATACTTGTTGTTGCGTTGCCTGGAATGTTCTGTAGTGTGGCATTAAACGTATGTACTCCAATAGAGTGAATCCACAGGTCAGGTCTGTGGAAAGGCGATCCTGCTTTCAAATGCGTGTGAAAGTTAAGGCTTGTTCTTGTTCTTGAGGTGATAAAAACAAGATAAAAGTTTGTTTGGGCTCTGACATTTCATACTTCAAAAGATGTTCTGCTGCCGCACTGGCAAGGAAGCCAATAAACCATGCCCACATAAATAACCAATCAATAAACCAAGTTTTGCTTAGCTGAGGTGTCGAGAACAAGCCTCAAGAAGTACTGAACGGGACCTGGCTGAACAAAATGACGTCTTTTTGTTGTTACTCTTATGAGCTTTTAACCATTTTATAATGATGTTACGTCATCAAAAACATACCTGGAGTAGAGTTGTTTCATTCACACATGAAACACACACACATAAATTTGGTTTATTAGCCTGTTTATGTCTCAAAATACTCTGTTCTACCTTGTGATGTCATGAAGCGGTAGTTTTCAAGTTTATAGCTACCTTACATGTTTTGTTTACTAGAGATTGGAAATTCCAGGGCT